GAGGGGAGCTGACACCAAGGGCTCAAGTAGAAAGAAAATGTTTTGAAAATGATGATGGCAACAAATGTACAAATGCGCTTGCCACAATGGGTGGATGTATGGATTGTGATAAGAGTTGTACAAGCCCCCAATGAAATGATTTATAAAGATTGTCTAACTACACACACACCTTTTTACCAAGGAACCTTGTGGTATAGGGGTTACTCCGTGGGCTGCTAACTGCAAGATCAGCAGTTTGAAACCACCAGCCGCTCCCCTGGAGAAAGACCGAGCTTTCTCCTCCAGTGAAAGGTGCCAGGGTCGGGATCCCACAGGGCAGTCCCGTTCCGTCCTCAGGAGTCACTCTGGGTTGGAAGTAAACAATCCATAGCAGGGAGTTGTGGGGTTGTTTTTGTGGTTTTGCCTTTTTACGTATTTGGAATACAGACTTTTGATGAAGGTAACTTAAATTTTTATGTGGTCTTGTGTAGTTATGTTGCCATTTGCTCTTTGGCTTTTGTTACTCATTAGACAGTGTGTAGGACCTGCCAGCCTTGCTCTAGGCTGCTTTCCCGCTCAATCCCTAACCTCCTAGGTTTAGAGTCCCAGCAGGTGTTATTGAACATACTTCCTGGTCATCTTATGAAGTTGTTCATCCCGCCCCCTCACTTCAGGGAGGGCAGTGAGGTAACTGTGCTAACACCTAATGTGGGCGGAGTGGGGCCATGACTACTACTTTGCATAAGAGCCCAGGATGAAAGGCTGTGACTAGATGGTGCCCGGAGGGCATTACCTGGTTCAAAGCCTGGCTGAAGGGCAGGGGGGAGCTCAGACCTGGCGCCACTGTAAACTGGTAGTGGAGGTGGATCTTAAGAAGGCTCCCTGGGGCAGAGCCCATTTGCTTCTGGGGATGCAATGAAGTAGAGACAGACGCTGGGAGAGGCTCAGGGCATAGTTGGACAGCCACACTGGACAGCCGTGAGCTTGGCAAAGTCTGGCTTCCTGACAGGAAAGAGCCCGTTGCTGGTGCCGTGTGTGGCCCGGACTGTCACCCTGCACACAGAGACGAGGCAGGCTTAGCGCCGGTGCTGGGAGCATAGAGGTGGTCCTGTGGGGTCTGTCCACAGCTGCTCGCAGCTGCTCTCACCCAGTTCATGCTGGTCCCACCCCTTGTTGAGAATGTGCCTTTCCTCCCCCAACCAAAAAACAAATCAACAAAAACCCACTGCCAGCCAGATGATTCTCCCAGCGACCCTGCAGCACGGGTCGAACTGGGTGGTGATGCTTCACAAGAGCAGGAGACCTTTTCTTTCACCCCGGGAGCAGCTGGTGGCTTCCAACTGCTGACCTTAAGGTTCGCAGCCCAGCACGTAATGCACTATGGCACCAGGGCTCCTCCACCCAGACTGGACAGCCTGAATCCAAATCTACATTCTACTAAGAGCTTAGAAGTTGGCCAGGTGATTCTTAAGTACCAGTAAACACAAGCCTCTTTGTACACCTCGGCATCCGCACGCATGACCTGGGTATCATGTGACCACAAAGACAGGTGAGCCTGGCCTGTCCGAGTGAGAGCTTTGCTATTTAACTCAAACAGCAATGAGTTCCTTTAAAAAAAAAAATCCCCAAAGTCAGACTTGGGGCAGGATTTGTTTTTAAGCCAGCCTCAGCTTTCCCATCTGTAAAATGGGTGTACTATTACCTTCTCTCATAAAGCTTCCAAGGAGATTCACTGTGCTCAACTGCATGAAGGGTCCTGGCACAAGGTCTGGGTCCAGAGCTGCTATCTTTAGGGGCCCCCAGGGTCTTCAGTTAGTAGGAATATGGGACGGCACCCCCACACCCCCAGGTCCCCATCATGCAAGTAGGTCATTTCTTTGGGCCAGAGAACAGCTCTGGTTTCTGGGGAGGCCAGGAGGCTGTCTTGGCTTTGTTTCTTGGATTGGTTTCCAAGTTTCTTCTTGTTCAGCCCGGGAGATGGGCTGTGCCCCAGCCCCCTGGGTGGACGGTGTCCATGCTGAACAGGGAAGATGACAGAGGTGACGTCGGTGGCGCCTGTCTGCTCAGCCTCGATGTGTGGTCGGAGTCCAGCATCCCGGCAGCCAGAGGCTTCCGACCACACAGCTGGCCAGACGCAGAGAGCAGGCTGCTGGGAGCACACTTGCAGGGCGTCTGGCCCGCATTTGGAAGTTCCATTCAGAGAGGCCTCTGAGAGTGGGATCCAGCGGTCTGCTGGGGATGCCAGCTTCTGGGGTCTCCTACTTCCCGCCTGGCCGAGATGCGCGTGAGCACGGCGTCCTCCTAGCCCGGCGTCCAGAGGGGCAGGAGGAAATGATTTGTATGCAGCATGATATGCCAGCTCTCCGGTCTGTGGTGGCTGCTTTGTGGAGTGTCTGTCTGAGACTGGCCCGGCTTCAGCCATGTCAGGTGGGCACCTGGGGCGCAGTCCTCAGAAACAGCTACCCTGGTTCAATAACATGTGGACATGTGTCTGACGGGGACATTTGTGTGCTTCTTGATGTCTTAACGCCTCCTAAAAGGGGCTGGTGAGTTCAGACTGGAGCTCCAGTAGCACAGCGCTTGCAGGCTGCAAGGTCAGCAGTTCAGAACCACCAGCTGCTCCACAGAGGGAAGATGAGGCTTTCTACCCCCACGATGAGTTACGATCAGAGAATGTTTTGTTGTGTATATTTTTGCCACGATTTAGAAAGAAGAAAATTGCAAGAATAACTGAGTACGAGGAAGAAGAAAATATTCTGGCATTGACTGGTGATAATTGTACAGCTCTTCTTGAGAGGATTGAATTGCCGAATTGTGTGGCATGTGGATAGGATGCTAACGAAAGCGGTAATACAGGGTTACGGTCTCGGAAACTCACCGGGGCAGTTCTGCCCTGCCCTGCAGGGTCGTCTAGAGTCAGCACTGATTCGAGGGCAGCAGAGCAACGAGGGAGTGATGCTTCAGACCCGAAGTAACAAGGGTTGTGACGGATTCAAGTGGACTTAACAGTCAAGGAGCCCTGGGAGGGACCCCAGACCCCCTACCTGAAGGCACATAGGGTGAGAGGGAGGGATCAGCTAAAGACTGGTGAAGGGGAGCTCAGGCAGGAGAGGGGGCCAGGCTCAGAGATCACACAAAGGCAGGTTGCAGGAACAAGCAAGGAACCAGCTGT